GACCCCCGACCTTTTGTACCCGGAGCATCGACACCCCATAACGACGTATCAGACCCCAACCTTTCTCTCGTAGGGCCGTAACACTCAACCAACATCCTACCCGTAACAAACAACACTGACGTTCCCACTCTTAGTTTTCAACAGGGGTTCCAACTCACGATATCCCATCTTGCTAGTCACAATAACCTTCACAACAAGGAAAAAACCAACATGCTTATAACTAGAGAAAAGTAACCACATTCAGTCTTCTCATAATGCCAGACATTCTACTCACACGTTTAGCACAAACGCCACTTGCTACCATACAACAGACGCAACAAGACCCTCATATAGCAGTTATCAAATATAATGTATGCCTTATGTACATAGTCATTTCAAACGAAACCACAACAACCTATACATATTACTCAACTAGGGATGGCCATAGAAGGCCGCCTAACATTCTCAGGAACATCGATACAGCAATCACACTCAGAAACATAAAATTCAATAGATGCTTCACAACATTCTAGCCAACCTCAATTAGTAAAGCTCAACAACAGTAGATAACATCTAGACAAGCACAAACAACAACGCAAGGACTAATTCAAGGTACTCGGCACACAATCACTCACAGACACACCCGTGGTACTACTTACACACTGCTAGGCTTCCAAAACACGCGTCGATTCAACACCTAAGCACCAAGAGAAAAAAAACAGCAATTGAAATAGAAATTTCAGCCATCGAAACTAGTTCTAAGGTGCTATAAATGCTTCGTTACCGCCAAAAACGATTTCGTTCAGGTGCGGGTAGCTCCAATCCAAGTCGATGAGGTGTGGGTTGCATAGATCAGGCTGTAAACAGACGTGGGTAGTCACCGAACACCAAAAAAAACCGCTGTTTGAAAATTCCCGCTGTCACTGTCGCACGCCGTTGTCCGAACAGAGTTGCCGCACCTGCTACACACCGCTGTCACGAACGGGCAATCCTCTATTAACACCGCCGCACGTCGCTAGCATGAACGTGTTAGGTGTGTTGCCCTAAACTCGTAGTTTGTATTATGTAAAAACAAATGTATATTCAATAATGTTTTATTCAATAAATTTGTTGTTGAAACATAGCATTGCATTGTCCAAATCCAAGAAACTAAACATCCAAGGTTATTTGAATGTAATCGGGACAGTATATATACTGGGTATATATTTGATATATCCTTGATATATGAATGGATAATATCCCGTGAATAACCTAAAGGGTCTATAGTATATGGATAAGGTTGGGTACCTTATCCTGGCAACACTATGGATACGACCCACTCTGTAAAGGTTACAGACAACTCGATCCAGGTCGTTCGTGTGGAGACATGCGAGTGGGGGTATCCTATACAATGAGTTTGTATAAGACCGGACCGCGAAATAGAAAATCTTTAGATGTAACACCGTTAACTAATAGATTGTTATTTCATAGGATGACCAGGACACTCATTCTCAATCCTGAGTGAGTTATGGACTCCTGCCCGTGAGGGCTCATCCTTTGATCTGTATGGGTGAGAGTGGCCCGAGTCGCCGACTCAACATTCCTACCATTTTGGGGATGAGACCGAGTGGGGAGCTGGGAACATAACTTCACAAGATGGAATTCACTCCTCCCCGACTTTAGGGGAGTAGATGAGTGTTCCCTTAAATGCTGACTCCGGAACTTGAACAAGGGGCCCCA